AGTGAGTGCCTTCTTTTATATAAACTGTGAGTCATCTAGAATAACAGAATCTTAGAACTATAGTGCTGGCAGGGAACATAAGGATAACTGAATCTAACTTCCCCTCCCCAGCAAAGTAGGGAATCCAGAGCTAAAGCATCCCTGACGGATCATAAAATCGTCGTAGGGTTGGAGGTCTTCTAGTCCAGCCCCTGGCTAAGACAGGATACCTCATACCATCCTTGACAGATGGCTGTCCAATCTTTTCTTGAAAACCTCCAGTGATGGGGCACCCACAACATCAGGAGGCAAGGCGTTCCACTGCTTAATGTTTCTTACCATCAGGAAATTCCACCTTATTCCCAGATCGGATCTTCCTCTGAGGATTTTCCACCCATTGATTCTTGTCCTACTCTCAGGTGCAATGGGGAATTGATGCCCTCTTCCCTGTGGCAACCCTTCAGATATTGAAAGACTGCTATCAGGTCTTCCCTCAGTCTTCTCTTCGTTAAACTAAACATACCTAGTTCTTTTAATCATTTTTCATAGGAGTTAGCCTCCAATCCCCTTATCATCTTTGTGGTTCTTCTCTGCACCCCTTCCAGGGCCTCAGGGTAGATGACAATCTGCCCTCAGTTTAAACACCTTCCAAGGCAATATATTCCACTATCAAACTGCTGTTACTATGAAGAAGTTCATTTAGGCAAAACCACCTTTTTTGAATCCATTACTTCAGGTACCACTCTTCTGGAGATACAGAAAACAGGTATGCTCCACTTCCCACACAACAGCCCCTCAAATATTTTAAGATGGCTATCATATCACCCCTCACTCTTTTCTTCTTCAAGCTCCTTCAGCCATTCCTCACACAGCTTGATTTCTAGACTTTTCCCCATCTTGTCTGCCCTCTTCTGTACATTCCAGCTTCTCAATATCTTTCTTAATCTATGGGGCCAGAACTGTACAAAGTACAGTGGTGCCTCGCAAGACGAGCGCTCCGTTTTCTGATGAAATAGCATTACGACGAAGTTTTTGCAATCGCAAAAGTGATCGCAAAACAATGTTTCCTATCGGGGGATTTCGCTTTGCGATGATTCTCGCAAAACGACGATTTTCCTACAGCTGATCGCGGTTTCAAAATGGCCACCGGGTTAAAAAAATGGCTCCCCGCTCTTTTCTGGGATGGATTCCTTGCTGCACAGGCAGCGAAAATGGCCGCATTATGAAGGATCTTCACTGGACGGTGAGTTTCAATCAGGCTTTAATGCGTTTCTATGGGCTTTTTAATTTTGCTTTACGATGTTTTCATTCTATAGCAATTTCGCTGGAATGAATTAACATCATAATGTGAGACACCACTGTATTCCAGGTGGGTCTGACCAAAGCAAAATGAAGTGGTACAATTACTTCCGTGGACACCCTGAGTTCACTGATACAACCAAGTTTTTTAAATTTTATTTTATTTTATGTGTACTGGCACATCACATTATTGACTCATGTTGAGCTTGTGGACCCCTACATCCTTTTCACATGTACTGTCATCTTATATTTATGAATTTGGTTTTTCCTGCCTAAGGGTAGAACATTACATTTTTCCCTATTGAAATTCATTTTGTTACTTTTGGCCCTGTTTCTGATCTGTTTAGGTCTCTTTGAATCCTGTTTCCATCTAGGATACTTTTTGTGCAGTAAGTTCTGGTAGGGCACAATGTGGATACCAGTCTGTTGTAGCGCAGACTGGACTATATGATTTTATTTCTTGGACTACATGATTCTCCAATCTGAGAGTTCTATCTCACAATTATACACCCTATTGACATCTAAGTGTCCCTCACCTGGGGGAAATGCCTTAATTGGAAGGCTTAGAGGTTCAGCAAGGCCTAGCTCAAGCCACGTTGCCTTTGTCTGCTGGCAAAATGATGATGTCCGGATCTGAGTTTAGGGACTTGGTAGCATTTCTCTCCTTTCTTTTTAGAGGCATAATCAAAACACTGGCAGATCGTGCAAATCAGAACTGTGAAGCTCAATTGCTCAGCACCAAACTCAACCATCTGAATTGGGCCCTACAGGCAAATGGCTATTCTAAGAATGAAATCACAAGAGCCATCAAACCAAGAAAACAAAAACAAACTGAAGAGGAAAAACAGCCACCCACAAATAAAGTATTTCTGCCATACAACATAGGGGTCATGGACTGCATAGGGAAACTTCTGAAAAAATACAACCTACAAACAGTATTCAGGCCCACCACAAAAATACAACAAATGTTATGGTCAGCAAAGGACAAAAGGGGCCTCCTCACCACTGCAGGAGTATACCGGATACCTTGCAGTTGTGGCCAGGTATATACTGGAATCACAAAACACAGCATCCACACCAGAATCAAAGAACATTAGAGACACTGCAGACTAAAACAACTGGAAAAATAGGCAGTAGCTGAACATGCCCTAAAACAAGCTGGACATGAAATTCTATTTTAAAATACAGAAGTACTGGACAACACCAGCAATCATTATGTTAGACGGCACAGGGAAGCCATTGAAACCCACAAACACCAGCAGAGCTTCAACAAAAAAGAAGAAAGTTTGAAACTCAACAAAGCCTGGCTCCCAGCACTGAAAAATATAGCCTGCAGAAGATCAATGAACTCTACCCAGCCACAAGGACTGGTGATCACTACACACAAAAGACCAGCTAATGACACCATCAGTCATAGTGACAGATAATCTCTACACCTTATCACAACAATACACCACCAACAAAAAACACGCTGATCACCATAATCACCCAATCTCCTGAAAAGGACAAAAGCTGATCCCACAGCTATAAATACTCATCTATCCGAAAAACTGCACCAGAGCACAGAGTTCTGACTCCTGTCCTCTGAAGATGCCAGCCACAGAGCTACTGGTGAAACGTTAGGAAGAAAACCCTTAACAACACGGCCAAAGAGCCCAGAGAACCCACAACAACCATCAATGAATACAAGATTGTATCACAACAATACACCACCAACAAAAAACCATAGCAATGTGATTGCCGAGACATGACAGGTATGCTAAAAGCTAAGCCCTTTTGGAGGTCACTAATAAATAGTTGCCTTAAGCTGACAGTAACTTGATGACACATAATGCTGCCGCCACCACCACCACGAGTTAGTACTACCACCTATATTATATGTATTGTATTATTCAGAATATTCACCTGCAACAGAAAAACATTAATAAGGGGGAAATGAGGTACAGTAGAACCCTTGTATCTGCAGGGGAACAATTCCACAAACTACTGTGAATGCCTGAAATCGTGGACAGTAGCCACAAGGCCCGCCTCCTTCTATGCTGCATTTAGTGCTGCCGTAAACCATGGACAATTGAAACCATACATACTGATCTCATGGATACAGGGGTCTTACTGTAATACATACAAAGTGATCTTAAAATATTATTCTGTAGGCCTTGCAGTTTCATACAACATTTTACGTTGCATAGGATTTTCAACTTATTTTATTCAGGGACAAGGATATGAAATGTCCATTGATTCATCTTCAGAGGTTTACATATTTCTTTAACAGGAATAAGGCAGTTCTCTGTAATGCTATATAAAGTATGATTATTTGAAACGAATTCCAGTCCTATTAATAGTAGGGTTGCCAAAATACACTCATTACGGAAATAATATGAATCCTTACCTGACAAAAATAATTTTTCTTGCACTTTTGCTCTTGCATGCTCAGAAAAACATCTCTTTTTTAACCAAGCAGGTTCAAATTCACTGGAGTGGTCATCTGGCCAAATAATGTATACCTAAAAAGAAACACACATTGGAAGTTCATGAAAGGCCAGTGAAATCCCATTGACCTGGCAATCTAACAGGTATTTTGTTTGCTTTGCACAAAAACATACAGAGGTATGCATGTTTATTTGGAAGTCAGTTTTACTATATATTCAGTAAAGTGAGTCTGAAGGCAATAGCTTAATGTAGCGATTTTAATCTAACATTGGGAGTATTTGGGGATGGTGAGGTAAATTTATACAGGCAAGCTAAAGTGACACAGAGCATAACTATTCAGACATTAATTCCATGTGTGCTCAGTGAGGCTTACTCTGTGATCAAGTGAATGAAAATAAGAAGGGATGGGCAACCTTTGCTTGTGGCCAAAGTTCAAAAATCCAATGCAAATGGCTGTAATAATTCTCTTTCCTTTCCTAACATTCCTCTAGATAAGGAAAGAGTATGAGAAAAAGAAGAAGGAACAGGAAGAAGAGTGAGCGTAACAGTGAGAGGGCAGAGGATGATGGAAAGAGTGACTCTCCTACTGTTGGCCCTGGCCCTATTCATTACTAAGCTCTGCCCTGCACCAATATGTGGTCCCTAACAGATTACTCCTAAAGGAAAGCATCCTTGGCAGAAGGCCTGAACATTCCTAGTATCTAGAAGGGCCATCTTATTACAGCAAAAATGGTACCACTGCTAAGATTTATATAAACAAACACACAAACAAACATGTTTATGCCACCCAAACATGAAAGTTACCTTTTTAGTTTCTGTTAAGCCAACATCCTTTGCTGTGACATTGACATCGAGATCTTCAAGAGGCAGTTTGCGTGCTTGGGCAGAATGTAAGAAACAGGCAGGGCACTGGCAGTTGTCCCGTAGCCAAACAGAAGGGTATAGGCTCTCAGCCCCATCTTCCCAGTGAACACAGACAAACTGATTTGCTTCCAGAGTTTCCACTTTCTGGATGGCTGCACTCATGGTGAGGGCCTGAACTGGCTGCACTATCCCAGATGCCTGTTGCCAAGACCTCCTGCTCAGAGAGAAATGCCTTCGGTAATTGTGGTTGCCCTTCTGCACTTGCAGCCAAGTTCGGACTTTATAGTCTTTATGGACTTTAGTCTGCAACAAGTCTTTATGGACTTTAGTCCATAACAAGTATTTAGCAATTGTAGCCCACATCTTTGTGTAGTGTTGATAAACCTTCACTCCATAAATGCCTTTGTCATGAAGGAAGTTGTCTTCAGATCAATTCTATAAGAATAAAGCAGGTTGTTGAAAGGCACAAGGAAGAAAAATATTCAATTTTTTTTCTTCTTCTTCCCCTTTTCTTCCTCTCTAGGACCTGAGGTTTGCACTTGCTTGTCTTTAAAGTTCTAGCCAAGAGAGAAAAATAGTTTATTTTAGTGTGGGCTGTATCAATATTTCAGTATGAATTAAAGTTACCTGATAGAACTCTGAGGTGACGCAACTAGTAAAAAATGAAGCACTCTAAAATATAATACCATTGGACCCTAAAAAGTTATTTTAGCAAAAGGTGCATCCACTGATTCCTCTCCCTGCCATATCTCTGCTTACAGTATTAAATGTGTTATGTGCCATCATGTCAGAACTGACTTATAACTACCTTAATAGGACTTTCAAGATAAATGAGGTATTTAAGGACTGATGTTACCAGTTCCACCCCTCCCAATGAATGTCCATGGATGAGCAGGGATTTCTCCTGATACCTAGTCCATCAATTCATACAGTAAACCACACTGAGGCATTCAACCCTTGTGGCACATGGTGTGTCTGGTCAACCTTTTCCACCCATTCTCCCATAGATCTAAAAATACTGCTTTGGCATCTTAGAAAATAAAGACCTAAAAAAATTGTTACCAAGGGACGTGGTGGCGCTGCGGGCTAAACCGCAGAAGCCTGTGCTGCAGGGTCAGAAGACCAAGCAGTCGTAAGATCGAATCCACCTGACGGAGTGAGCTCCGTTGCTTGTACCAGCTCCTGCCAACCTAGCGGTTTGAAAGCATGGAAATGCAAGTAGAGAAATAGGGACCACTTTGGTGGGAAAGTAACAGCATTCCGTGTCTAAGTCGCACTGGCCATGTGACCACGGAAGATTGTCTTCAAACAAACACTGGCTCTATGGCTTGGAAACGGGGATGAGCACCGCCCCCTAGAGTCGAACATGACTGGACAAAAATTGTCCAGGGGAACCTTTACCTTTACCTAAAAAAATTGTTATTGGTTTATCTACTTATCAGGATTCCTATAATACCCTGTAAAAGCAGAACATCTGAAATTCAGTGAGCTTAGACATAGGATTAGTTATTGTCACATACAGCACTGATGGTACCTGTCTGTCATGGGTTTGGAGGGAAAGTTCCATCCTATGGGGAGTGGAAGGCGGGACATCAGGGGGGAGGAGCTGTACTGTATATATATTTGGAGCTGGTGTGGAGAAGG